CTTGGTTTGTCCTTCCTGCTCACCTGTTCCCGGCCCACGGATTGGGAAAAGGGCCTTTCACATGTCCTAGTTCCTTCAACCTCTCATTCTGCCTTGTGTGCTCCTGTCTTTTTTTTGGCCCCCTGTGGGTTTTACAGGACCTCTGCATAAGTTTGTTTCCCCTGCTTCCTCAGACCTGTTGTCTGTGTTTGTGTAGCCATTGCCGATGCACTTTTGTAATATCTTTGTCTCTGTGCTTTTTTTTCAGATGTCTCGCTCCCCTTTAATCTCTTATCTTAATTTCTGTGCTGTGGCCTGTTGCTTTCCCTTCTGATTTGCTGCTAACCTCTTCCATCTTCCTTTCCGCTATCTGTCTCTTCCCCAGTCTTCCTCCCTTTTTTTGAGCTATACTTCCATTCTCCCCCCAGATTGTCCTTTTGGGGCCCCCTTTTCCCTCCTGGTTTTTTAGGTTCCCGTTTCTCCACAGAAGGGGGGGACGGGTGGTTAGGGGGGGGGGAATAGGGTGGTTGGAGGAGAGGGATGGATGGTTTGGGGGGGGGGAGGGGGAGGATGGTTTTGGAGGGGGGAGAGATAGTTGGGGGAGGGGGGAGATGGTTTGGGGAGAGAGGGGGGGATGGTTATGGGGGAGGGGGAGGTGGTTATTTGAGGGGGGGGGTGTTGGGGGGTTAGACGGTTTGGGGAGGGGTTAGGTGGTTTGGGGGAGGGGTAGGTGGCTAAGGTGAGGTGGTTAGGGAAGGGGGAGAGGTGGTTAGGGGAGGGGGGATACATGTTTGTGTCAAGTGTTTGTGTCAAGTGGTGGAGGGTGTGTGGGTGGTGTGTGTGTGTGTTGTGTGTGTGTGTGTGTGTGTGTGTGTATGTGCATGTGTGTGTGTGTGTGTATGTGTGTGTGTGTGGTGTTGTGTGTGTGGTGTGTATGTCGTGTGTGTGTGGTGTGTGTGTGTGGTGTGTGTGTGTGGTTGTGTGTGTGTGTGGTGTGTGTGTGCAGTGTGTGTTGTGTGGTGTGTCTGTGTGTGTGGTGTGTGTGTGTGGTGTGTGTGTGTGTGGTGTGTGTGTGTGGTGGGGTGTGTGTTTTGGTGTGTGTGTGGTGTGTGTGTGGTGTGTGTGTGTGGTGTGTGTGTGTGTGTTATATATATATGTGTGTGTGTGTGTGTGTGTTGTGTTTGTGTGTGTGTGTGAGTGTGTGAGTGTCTACCCTTGTGTGTGTGTGCTTGTGTGTGAGGGTGGGATGGTTAGGGGGGGTAGGTGGTGTGGTTGAAAGATCCGTCGTGTAGGCACAAATTTAGTCTCATTTATCTTTCCCAATTATGCTACTCTCTCCACTTATTGCCCTTTCTGGATTTACGTATTAATTGTTGCTGGTTATTATCATTTTCCTTGCTCACATTGAGAGAGGACTTCCTAGCTTCCTAAGTATTCTTACTGCTAATAACTATCGGTAGTAACACTGCCTGTGTGTGTGTGTGCATGTGTGTGTGTGTGAGTGTGTGTGTGTGTGAGTGTCTTGTGCAGTGTAATGACTGGCCACAACTTCTTGTGACCTGACACAACCCTCCTGGGACTTGACCCTAGCACGGTCTTAGGTTCGTAGGTTCGAGTCTCCTTCAGCCAGAGATCAGTGTTTGTGTATATTTCGCCTGCTCTTGCGAATTCCTTACATTTTTAATATCTCTAGTAAGGCTGATGCATGCAGGGGATGAGATGAAAAGCTGTAAGCCTTCTCCCTGAAAGCTGGCTGCCTTGGATCAAAGTCTAGCGCAAGCTGGACTCCAAGGTATTGTCCAGTGTGGGTAGATTGGTAAAGCACTGCGTACCTTGTTCCAAGGTTCGTAGGTTCGAGTCTCCTTCAGCCAGAGATCAGTGTTTGTGTATATTTCGCCTGCTCTTGCGAATTCCTTGCATTGTTAATATCTCTAGTAAGGCTGATGCATGCAGGGGATGAGATGAAAAGCTGTAAGCCTTCTCCCTGAAAGCTGGCTGCCTTGGATCAAAGTCTAGCGCAAGCTGGACTCCAAGGTATTGTCCAGTGTGGGTAGATTGGTAAAGCACTGCGTACCTTGTTCCAAGGTTCGTAGGTTCGAGTCTCCTTCAGCCAGAGATCAGTGTTTATATATATATATATATATATATATTATATATATATATATATATATATATATATATTTCCATCTCACAGAATCAGATGAAGGATAATTCTCAGAAAGATTGCAGGGAACAGGATTCGACCAACATTCTGACACTTACCGAGCAGTGAGGCTTAGCTCACTACATGACTTTGGTGTTTAAAGCCGTCATGTAGAGAGCTAAGCTACACTACTGGATAGTATACAAACAAGGATTTGAGTCCTGCTGACTGCAATCTTTTGCTTGTTTCTGTGAGATGCGTTGAGAATAATATCTCTGGTGAGGCCAGAACATTCAGGAGAATGTAATAAATACAGACCATGCTTGAGGCACATTGGTGGGCCCTGCTTTAAGAAGCATTGCTTGCAAGCAGGATACCTAACATAGGGAGGTTTACCTCCAGTAAATGTGTTTTTATCAAATAGCTGGAAATATGGAGATGGACTGATACATCTTAGGAGTGCACTTATAAATATGTATATTCTCTGAGGAAGATTTTTGGTGTTCATGGTTTGTGTGTAAGTACGCACATAATACCATTAACTCATGCTGCACCTTGTGTTAATGTGTTATCACTCACGCTGCACCTTGTGTTAATGTGATATCACTCATGCTGCACCTTGTGTTAATATGTTAACACTCATGCTGCACCTTGTGTTAATGTGATATCACTCATGCTGCACCTTGTGTTAATATGTTAACACTCATGCTGCATGTTGAGAAATGGCATTACCAGTTAAGTTTAAAGACTTATACTTAACTTAAAAGGACAACTCATCGCCTGCACAGCCGCCCCTGCAGACGAGGTCTAGAAGCTGTCGAAACCATCTCAACATGGGCTGTCAAGAAATTTGTATGATTATAAATTACCCCTAGGGGGTGTTATGTCAGCATATTTCATACACTGGTGGCTGACGATGTACGTACTTGTTTGGACTCAATGGTCCGCATATCACCGGGGTTTATGATACCTGGACTAACTCACGATTTTATACTCAACTGCGCAGTCAATAGTAGTACATCACGAGTTAGAACACTTACCTGGGTATATGTATCTGACCCGTAATCACGCCCGGATATCCGTTGAGTTAATTGAAGAATAGTGTTCTTTGAAGAATGTCGCACTACACTCTGTTGGATCGCAGCACTCGTTGTTACACTGTTCATCAATAATTGTTCACACAATATCACTAAGAAGTTGATCACACTTCTCTGTAAGTGTTTATCGTGTTTTGTGAGACACTTTGTCCACACTAACGCACAGATCAGTGTTCTTTGTTGGTTATCCTGGCGTCAGTGTCACTCGTAGTAGAGTCAAAGTTAATCTCGCGATGGCCACACCGCCCCAAGCCGTTGCTCCCCTAATACACACAAAAAAAAATGCTGACCTAGTACCTTGCTTCCTTGCCACCTCCTCGATGAAGCAAAGCAGAATGCTTGATTCTTGCTGTCTTAAGCATAGACAACAACATCCACTATCTTTACTATGGTAATAAAGTGGGAGCAGGATTTTCATTAATTGTCCTGCTAAAGTAAGAATGTACTGTCTCTTATAAAAATACACTTTGCAACACCGCTGTAAGGAGCAGAGGTCACTTGACTACGTGGCATAGCATCTGTGATCAATTACTCACTGTAGCAGTAAACAAGACGCTCGCCCCTTCTGAGAGGGCTTGGCCACTCAGGGCTGAAAGGGGCTGAAGGGGGCTGAAGGGGGCTGATACCCCCCTCCTGGAGAAAATTTCTCCACACTGCACCTTGTGTTAATGTGTTAACACTCATGCTGCACCCTGTGTTAATGTGTTATCATGCTGCACCTTGTGTTAATGTGTTAACACCCATGCTGCACCTTGTGTTAATGTGTTATCATGCTGCACCTTGTGTTAATGTGTTAACACCCATGCTGCACCTTGTGTTAATGTGTTATCATGCTGCACCTTGTGTTAATGTGTTAACACCCATGCTGCACCTTGTGTTAATGTGTTATCATGCTGCACCTTGTGTTAATGTGTTAACACCCATGCTGCACCTTGTGTTAATGTGTTATCATGCTGCACCTTGTGTTAATGTGTTAACACCCATGCTGCACCTTGTGTTAATGTGTTATCATGCTGCACCTTGTGTTAATGTGTTAACACTCATGCTGCACCTTGTGTTAATGTGTTATCATGCTGCCCCTTGTGTTAATGTGTTATCACTCATGCTGCCCCTTGTGTTAATGTGTTATCACTCATGCTGCACCTTGTGTTAATGTGTTAACACTCATGCTGCACCTTGTGTTAATATGTTAACACCCATGCTGCACCTTGTGTTAATGTGTTAACACTCAGAAATATGTGTTAATATTATATGTGATTCCGACTGTACTGTCATGTTAATAACTTTATTAAGTTTAATGCCTCTGTTCCACTTAAGTCACTAAAGTCGCATTTCTCCCGTTTATTTGTTTCAAGAATAATTACATTCATTTATTTTTGAGATTAATTAAAGCTTTTATTATTTACTATTCATTGAGAAATGCACAATTTTCTGTATATGTATATCCTGTATGTCACAGTGTTAATAACAATATTATACAATTAGAGATACTCACCTAATTGTAAAGAAAATACTACATATGTTCTTGTGTTTTTAATAAAAAAATAAATTTCACTGATAATAATAATATTTAGTTAGTTTAATATGTTTATTATGCACCCCATACCCATCCTGTGGGCGGTAGTCAAAAGATTACAGAGGTACATAATGGGTCCAGGGACTGGGCCTCAAAGTTTTGATAGCTAATAATATTTAAACACGACTAATCTAACATTAATCACTGTACTGAATGTTTTTCATTATGGAACATTATCAGTTAATTTAACTTGGTGTGTATACAGCCCTCCTGCACGAGACTGCTCGGACATTCAACACGAAGGTGTGACTGACAGAGGTATCTACGAGATCTCCCCTCAGAGGTAAGTTGTTTCTCCAGCCTCAGTTATTATTATAAAGATGTGTATAATTCTCTCAGATGTTCAACTGTAAGCTTTTACTCTTTCTCGTCTTCGTAAGAGAATATAACACGAATCACTACTTCGTGTCTTCATACGTTTAATAAGTGTTAATCAGAAATATATATATATATATATATATATTATATATATATATATATATAATATATATATATATTATATATATATATATATATATATATATATATATAAACACTGAAAATCAACTGTATACATTTAGACTGATCTCCTTAAATAGTTGTCTTTGTAAAACTTTTGGAAGAAAGATACTTAACAGACTGTACTACAGAATCAGACACTAACTTTCCCCTCATCTCTGTGGGATCATGAAAGGTAAAAGTGTGCAGAAATGTATTTCCACCTTTCTCACTGCACACACCTCTGTTAGTTTTACCACTTTTCTTGATCCATAATCTGCATTTGATATCGCAAACAGAACCGTTAATCTAGATGAACTAGCCAAAATGAATATTGGTGGTAGCTTACTCTGCTGGATAATAGGATACCTGTCAAATACAGTATCCTCTGTCCTTTACCAAGGCTTCAGAAGTGAGTCTAAAGAAATGTCTTTAGGTACACCGCAGGGAGGAGTTCTTAGTCCCATGCTATATTATGTCCTGATTAATGCTCTCCTAAATGGTTTACCTGCCTCACCTAAACATATCCTATAAGCTATGCTGATAACATCATGATCCATACAACAGGGCATAAGGAGATAAGTACCATTCCTAATGAAGTTAAAACAATTTGTAATCGATTAGGCATCCTAATTTTTTCCTCTAAAACAAAGATATTAACAAGCAAACGACATCCCCCACCCATCTATTTGCAGGGTGAAAACATTAGCTACGCTAAATCTTACAGATACCTTGGTGTAGATGTGCCCTTTAATAAATCAACTATACCAGAACTAAGTAAGAAATGCAAAGATAGGTTAAATGCTCTTTAAGCTGTTACTGAATACAACCCCAACTATGGTGCTAGAGGGAGAATCGTGGGATTGTAAAGTAAAAAGGATACAAGTGCAACTAATGTGACATTTTATTGTGGCAACGTTTCACTCTCCAGGAGCTTTGTTAATCCGTTACAAAGAGTACATGTATGTATGTATAATGTTCGCCAAGACCGTAGTCCTGGCACGGGTCTCAATCTTGCGATGACCCGTCTCTGGCTCCCGAGGGAGAAAGGTTTCCACAATGATGCGACGTATGCTGCTCAAGCACTCTTCTGGTCAGTTCAACTGGTGCATCTCATAAGCGACAACACTATATGTACTCCTAACTATGGACACTAGCGAGGAGGAGGATATGTCGTTATCACAGGTAACAGCTTGTCTGGTTCGTTGACTCCATGGTACACTAGTGTGGCCGCAGTCATCTCTGGGTCCTCTTCGGGAGGGAATATCACTCCTAGTTGCCTGCGGAGTGTCTCAGTAACTTCGCACCCCAGAAGATAGTGTGTTAGGGGCCGCTGGACAACGTGCTGACAGTACTGGCACATCTCCTCAGCCTTGTCTACCATCATCTTGGCTGTGGGAAAGCCCAAACGAAGCCGATGGATGGCGGTACACTGCGCTCTGGACCAGCTTCTATCATATGGAGGGGGTTCTCCCTGAGTCGCTGCTCGGTACCACTGTTGAGATGGGGTATCACCTAAGACCTCCCCCATAAGTTTCATGGCTCTGTCAGCCACCAGTTTGGTCTGTCGTAGGCTGATTGGGACAGTAATCCCAACATGTGTATAGTCTGTTACTGCCTTGGCTGCATCATCTGCCACCTCATTTCCCCGGATGCCAGCATGGCTGGGGATCCAGTTCAATGTCGATCTGTTACCCTGAACTTCTAAGGCTGTCATTATGCTCAGGATCGATGTGATGAGGTGAACATTGTCCTGTGGTTGAGGATTGGAGATGTGATTGATTGCAGAGGTGGAATCAACATGTATGACAGGTCGGAGTCGATGTCGTAGGGCATGTGACAATGCCTGCTGAATCGCCACCAGCTCAGCTTGAAGGATCGTGCAGCGGTCAGGGAGTCGCCAGCCTTGTGTGTGACCATTGTGGTACAGTCCAGCTGCTGCTCTCTTCCTGTCAGGGTCGACAGAACCATCTGTGAAATACACTGCACATGTGCCTCCCTCTGCCAGTGCCATGCTTGTCTCAGCATGATTGCTGAGGGTGTCTTGACTGAAGAGACGCTTAGAGATGGGTAGCTGCATGATGCAAACATCGGCTGGATCTGGGCGCCAGGGAGGTGGTGGATGGTACCCAGCAACAGGAAGGTCACAACTCTTCTCAAGGAGTTGTTGTATAGGCAGTAGCTTCCGCCCAGCAGCACAAAACGAACGAATCCAGGAGTAGTCCGTGAAGAGTGTGGGATCTTGTGTCATGGTTGTCAATATCCGTCTCCTTAGTGGGGTACCTTGCTGCCAGTGCAGAATCATGGCAGCTTTGCAGGCGTTTATGTATCTTACTCTGTCAGCCAAGGAACGAACCCGGGCCTCAGATCATACTGGGAGCGCTTGAGGTTCCTGAACCTGTATTCCCTGGAACGCAGGCGGGAGAGATACATGATTATATACACCTGGAAAATCCTAGAGGGACTAGTACCGAACTTGCACACGAAAATCACTCACTACCAAAGCAAAAGACTTGGCAGACGATGCAACATCCCCCCAATGAAAAGCAGGGGTGTCACTAGCACGTTAAGAGACCATACAATAAGTGTCAGGGGCCCGAGACTGTTCAACTGCCTCCCAGCATACATAAGGGGGATTACCAACAGACCCCTGGTAGTCTTCAAGCTGGCACTGGACAAGCACCTAAAGTCGGTTCCTGACCAGCCGGGCTGTGGCTCGTACGTTGGTTTGCGTGCAGCCAGCAGCAACAGCCTGGTTGATCAGGCTCTGATCCACCAGGAGGCCTGGTCACAGACAGGGCCGCGGGGGCGTTGACCCCCGGAACTCTCTCCAGGTAAACTCCAGGTCCAGGTATACTATGTTGGTCCAGATGGGGGCCCCAAGCATAGTTCTTATCGCCTGATTTTGTACGACCTCCACCCTTTGCCTGCTCTGCGGGAAGAGATGAGCTAACGCCGGTGCACCGTAGTCAATGAGCGAGCGTATAGCTTGTATATAGTACAAGCGAAGTACATCTTTGCTTGCCCCTGCACGGTGCCTCGTCATGGCTCTCATGGCGTTGAGTCTGAGTAGAGCACGTGACCTGACATACTCGGCCTGTTTCTGAAAGGTCAGCTTTTTATCAATGTAGATTCCCAAGTACAGGTAGGAGCCTGTCCACTCAAATTCTATATCCTGAATACGTAATCTATTCACAGGATCTGGTCCATTGAACATCATTGCAAGAGATTTTTCGGCCGAGATCTTGAGGCCTAGTTCCTTGCAAGACTGCGTAATTAGGTCCAAAGCTCTCTGAGCCTGTCGTTCTAAATTGCCTTTCCCATTAACTACAAGTGCAAGATCATCAACATAGCTGAGGAGCTGTGTACCACTATGAAAGGGAAGGCTCACAAGTTCATGCATAAGGATGTTAAACAGGGTAGGACTGAGAACACCTCCTTGTGGCGTGCCGTTTTCCAGGGTTTTAAAGGAAGAGTAGTGTCCCTGAAAGCTGACACAGGCCTGCCTGCCCCTAAGGTAAGACTCTATCCAGGCCAGGAGGCGTCCTTCGATTCCCTTCCGAGCTAGTATTGCCAGAATTGCTGTAGGGCTGGCTAGCTCAAATGCCTTCTCAAGGTCGAGGTAGACGACGATACTAGGTTTTTTGTTACTATCAGCAATCTGGCTTAGTAGAATGGTTATGCACTCTGCTGTACCCACTCCTTTGGTGAAGCCAAATATGTGATGATGAGAGGGTCCAAGTTCCCATAGGAGGCGGTTTAACACCATCCTCTCAGCAGTCTTGGCTAAACAGCTGGTCAGCGATATGGGTCTCATACTGCCTGGGTCCTTGGGCCTTGGAATTGGTACAATGGTAGCTTTCTTCCAAGCTGCTGGGAGTGTCCCGGCCCTCCACGACTTGTTAATGACGTCTAGTATGGCCTCCCATCCACTCTGCCCAGCCCGTGCAATCATGGAGTACGTCACACCATCGATGCCCGGGGCAGTGTCACCTGTGTTCTTATTGGCATGTCGGAGTTCCAAGTCCGTGAGGTCTTCATCAGTCACATCTTCCAACTCACATGCAGCTTGTATCGTTAACTGGTGCTGTGGCAGAAGATTCGTCTGTATATTCCGAATGTCCTGTGGGAGCTGATTGGAGGCTCCCCCGGAAGCGGAAAGCTCTACTAGTTTCTCAGCTTCCTGGGATGGGTTCGGGTGTGCTGGTGGCCTCGGCTTGCTCTTGCCAGTTGCTGTGTTGAGCTTGCTCCATATCTCAGATAAGGTGGTGTGATGCCCGAATGTTGAGCACCACTCCATCCATTTCTCAGTTTTTACTCTGGGAGAGACTCTGTGGGCATGCTGCACAATGGCTCTGAGAGTATTCCTGTTCTCTGCCGTAGGGTTACGCCTGTATAGCTTCCTAAAAGAGTTGATGCAGTGGTTCTGCTCCCGCACCTCGTCTTTGTAGAACCACCAGTCTCTTTTGTGAGTGCGTCCTGTGGACTTCTTTGGAATTGCGCACTCTGCTGCCTGGATGAGAACAGTGATTAGCTCCTGTTCAGCCATATCACAGTCTTCAGATAGAGAGTATGTGGACCATCAGTCATGAAGATAATCCTGGAACACCTTCCAGTTGGCCCTCTTTACGTCCCATCTAGGAGGCAGCACAACTGTGGGAGGCCTGTTGATGTTGAAGGTGGTGATCACTGCAAAGTGGTCACTGACAAGGTGAGGATGAGTTTCCCATGTGGCTCCTGCTGCGAGTTGTCTTGACCCGAAGGTAAGGTCGAGGCAGCCACCCAACAGGTGTGTGGGGTCTCCAT